GACAAACACACTAGTGTTCCTATAAGGGTTCCGTTTTTCATTCAGACGTACGGAACCCTCGCCCGAGAACCAACCAACCATACATTCAAACTGCAAATGTAAATTTGTATGCACAATATTGTTTTGTTTAAATATTTACCACGTTATATTCAGAACATACACTTTTTATTAATTTTACTGTAATATATAAATAAAGAACTATTTTCCGTATTTTTTTCAAAATTTTAGGTGTAGTAGTTTCGGAGTTAAGGGGGAAGGAAGGAATCGTCAATTTTTATCTATTTTCTTAAATAACTTAAAAACTATTTATTTTAAAATTATAAAAAAATATATTTGAGACCCTTATAACAAGCCCTTTCACATTTACATTATGCGTCTGTGTTTACATCACAGAAATTCATATGTGTACTAAATTTCAACTTAATTGACTCTGACAGATGGACGGGCAGACACACGAGTGATCTTATAAGGGTTCCGTTTTTCATTCGGACATACGGAACCCTAAAAGTATTGTAAAATCGTACACTATACATAGAAATTTTAAATAAATGCATATAAAATGTCGCCCAGGCTAGATCCTTGGACCTAGATACCTAGCTAAAATTTAGAACCAAAATAAACCTAGACAAAGTAATAACTTTATGCCTACACGTGAGGCAAATGTTTCCAGTTATATTGCTTAAATTTACATACGTACACAATTATCTATCTATACGCAATGCCTTTCTGTGCAAAAATATGTTACGTTGTATTATTTAAATTAATATTTCGCCACTACATGGCAGCGCATTTCAGCTGTCGCACCCACAATGACAAATTGAAAGATTTAGCGGAAGTGATACCCACATAGATGAGACCTAAAAGTACTAAGACAAAATCTTTTATAAAACAATAATTTGTAATGTATAAATTTAGCCGGAATTAAGAATGAAAAAAGAATTTTACGTTAAAACTGAGCACTGTGTGCAACTATCGAACGTAAAATATATAGACCAAAGCAGTAGCAATATTGTCCACTTTGACTTTTTAATATTGTGCAAATTTTGTAAAAAAAATCTACAAAAAAGAAGCAATTACAATTACTAAGTATTTAATTTCGTTATTGTGCTTAATAGAGACAATTTCCATTGAATGACTTGAAAAACCATAGCTGCCGAAGAAATCTACGAAATTTTTTTGAACACTAGAAATTCCACGAATATTTTGTCAACGTTTAGTATATATTTTTAATTATATTCCAAAAGAGTAGCTTATAATTTCAAAAACACTTCAATAAAGAGATTCAGCTGTCCGATATAGTAATTGTTGTAATTACTACTTAGATAATAAAGATGCGAATAATTTTAATGGTAGATTGATAGATTTTAAACATCAAAGCCACCAGTTAGATATAGAGTTATGTAACGATAGATACAACACTATAAATGACTTGAGAAGTGATACCTGCCGAAGAAATTTACGATTTTTTTTTTGAAATTCCACGAATATTTAGTCAATGTTTAGTTCGTATTTTTAATTAGATTTCAAAAGAGTAGCTTATAATTTCAAGAAACACTTCATTAAAGAGATTCAGCTGTCCGATATAGTAATTGATGTAATTACTACTTAGATACTAAAGATGCGAATAATTTTAATGGTAAATCGATAGATTTTAAACACCAAAGCCACTAGATAGATATAGAGTTATGTAACGATAGATACAAAACTATAAATGACTTGAGAAGTGATACCTGCCGAAGAAATTTACGATTTTTTTTTTGAAATTCCACGAATATTTAGTCAATGTTTAGTTCGTATTTTTAATTAGATTTCAAAAGAGTAGCTTATAATTTCAAGAAACACTTCATTAAAGAGATTCAGCTGTCCGATATAGTAATTGATGTAATTACTACTTAGATACTAAAGATGCGAATAATTTTAATGGTAAATCGATAGATTTGAAACACCAAAGCCACTAGATAGATATAGAGTTATGTAACGATAGATACAAAACTATAAATGACTTGAGAAGTGATACCTGCCGAAGAAATTTACGATTTTTTTTTTGAAATTCCACGAATATTTAGTCAATGTTTAGTTCGTATTTTTAATTAACTTTCAAAAGAGTAGCTTATAATTCCAAGAAACACTTCATTAAAGAGATTCAGCTGTCCGATATAGTAATTGATGTAATTACTACTTAGATACTAAAGATGCGAATAATTTTAATGGTAAATCGATAGATTTTAAACACCAAAGCCACTAGATAGATATAGAGTTATGTAACGATAGATACAAAACTATAAATGACTTGAGAAGTGATACCTGCCGAAGAAATTTACGATTTTTTTTTTGAAATTCCACGAATATTTAGTCAATGTTTAGTTCGTATTTTTAATTAACTTTCAAAAGAGTAGCTTATAATTCCAAGAAACACTTCATTAAAGAGATTCAGCTGTCCGATATAGTAATTGATGTAATTACTACTTAGATAATAACGATGCGAATAATTTTAATGGTAAATTGATAGATTTTAAACAGCAAAGCCACCAGATAGATGTAGAGTTATCTAACGATAGGTATAAGACTGGCTATGTAATGGTGAACTTAATAAGGCATGCTGAAAGAACTTACATAAGTAATGTCTTAATCAAGAAAGGCAAACAAAAAGCTTGTCCAACAACAACGTAACGTAAATTCTTCAAGAGTGATTCATTTTAAGTCAACTTGCGTGAATCCTTACTTCCTATAAGAAATTAAATCGCTAATTACACTGGTTAACAATGGTTTTGCCCATGAATGATGAAATACAAAAATAGGCAGTACTTGGTAAATAGTAATGATCAGTTATAATATTACAAGTGTCTTAGCTCGAGTTATCGAGCTATGCAAGTTTAGTCTTGTATTGCGTTCGCCGCACTCTCGCAAGTTTCGACTTGTTTGTTATTACAATACGGCCCTACTATACTAGATTTAATACATCATAAAGAACGTTAAGATTGCGCTGGCATTCGCTATCAAACACCGTTAAATACAATTAGTGTATGATATGGTAATAGCACTGTAACCTACAGCAACGTCTTAAGTGTATCAAACAAATTTTGTTTTTAGTTTTTATTGTGAAGTTTTAAGTAAAACTTTGTGAATTTATATTTTTGATATGCCTCGTTCCTGTGAAAGCAATCCTAACAATTTTTGTTACGTGTGTGGTAAATTCACTACAAAAAATACAGGGTTACACAAAGTATTGCTGTTTCTTGTGTCTTTGGGACAGTCGCGACAGGGAAAACCATTACGTAAAAAAAGTGTGGCCGTTACGAAAAGCTTTTACACCAGGAACTGAAAATGTTTTTTATCCACCTTTAGTGCAAAAAGAAAATATTATTATATCACCTCTGCATATAAAATTAGGATTGATGAAAAACTTCGTAAAAGCACTGAATCGCGAAGGTCAAGCTTTTCAATATTTAAAAAAAAGTTTACAAAAATGACAGATGCCAAGTTAGAAGAAGGAATTTTCATAGGACCTCAAATAAAAGAATTAATGAATGACAAGACTTTTGAAAGCACATTGAATAGAAAGGAAAAACAGGCCTGGACATCCATGATAAAAGTTTTTCAAAATTTCTTGGGTAAAAAAAAATCTGAAGACTATGAAAACCTGGTTAAGAATATGATCCAAGCATTGTACGCTCTCGGTTGCAAAATGTCCCTCAAAATACACATTCTCGACTCACATTTGGATTTTTGTCCTGAAAATATGGGAGATGTTAGCGACGAACATGGTGAACGTTTTCATCAGGATATTTCAGGCATGGAACAGCGATACCAGGACAAATGGAGTCCTGCTATGTTAGCAGACTACTGCTGGACGTTGAAGAGAGAGGCTGTAGATATTATTTATAAACGGAAAAGCAATATATTAACTCATTTTTAAATTTTATAATATGTGATTTATGAATATAATGTTATCTTAAGTCAAAAGATTTTTATTTGATTCCACAAAAAACGCGAGCTAACTCGACCTTAAAACTTACATCAAAATGTATGTTTAGAGGTATTCTTTCGCAATTAGCACAACTCATTTCATGGATTAACAAAACCTTAAAATTTGTTAACCAGTGATATTTGTCAGAAAATCTACAGCTATAAAGTTGCTATTTAAAATATGTCGCACTTCTATTACGAAAAATTTTGAGTACATACATAATATTAAGCACACGATAAAGAGATGATAATTACATCGCCTCCTGTATACTAAAAGGCGTCGTTTGGGTTATTCGTTCAAGTACATAGTTATCGGAATTTATCGAGATACCATAAAGTTTTTTTTTATATAAAGTAACAACCTCGATCTCGTTCTTGTTAAATTATTTCTCATTATAAAGTTCACGGTTGAAATGATCATAAACATAGTAATAAATAATTGGGAAAATATCAGAGTATATTACAGTTACATGACTTTTCTTTCAATAATAAGTAATAAGAGCATTGGAAAACAAAGATTTTTCGTTTCCTTAATTGTCTTTGAAAAGTTAGCGTGCCAAGAATTCCGTACCTTAGAAAACTCATTATCTGCTTGGCTTCTCTTTCGATAATAAATAATAAGAGCATTACAAAATAAATACTTTTAGTATCCTTAATTGTCTTTGAACAATCAACGCGCCGAGAATTCCGTACCTTCCTTCAGTAATAAATAATAAGAGCACTGCAAAACAAAGATTTTTCATATCCTTAAAAAACTAATTATCTGCACGAGTTAATTTAAATTCGTAATCCTGCAAACTTAGAAGGTACCTACAAAGATTTTTCCATCAACTTTTGGTTACAGATTAAAAAGTATGTGACCTAATTTTGACCCCTATTTTGATTATTTTTGCAATAAGGAAAATATACCTATTCGAAATTCAGCGTCACAGCAATAATAAAGGCTGAGACGAGGGTTCCTTGTTAAGTTTTTTGGTGGGACACCTTATTCATACATTTCATTTTAATTAATTTAAAATTCCTACCTTTGAAGTTGTTCATTTTGTTTCAGTTATTCAGAAAACAGAAAGCAGTGGGCCCAATGAGTAGAAGCTCTTCAAGGCCTCGTAGCAGCCAGGCGGGATTGAAACGTCCTCCAAGGCCTCCGCCGCACCCTGATCCTAACTTAAACTCTCCATTGTTGGGACAACGATCGCGGTCTCTAGTAAGTAGGAGAAGAATCTGTAATTAAAACAATATAGTAAGCAACTGATTTTTTTTAAGCGCTGACATCTTTGGTAAGTAAACAAAAACATAAGAAATTTATTAAAGAAATCGGGAAGCATTCAAAATTAAGCACATGGAATTCTCAAATTCCTAATTTCTAAATTTCATTCGTTCTAATTTGGCTTGTTTGATTTTGAGATTAGAATATTTCGACACTTTAATGTGACAAGGTAATTATTGGGCAAAATTCGAGTTCTCCGTCAAAAATGTATATAGAATATACCCTCTTCTTTATTTTTTTCTTTCTTTCTACCTAACAGTAGTGCTTTCAAACAAGAAACGCTCTCGAAAAGGGAAGCGCAACTAAACAACATTAGGAAGTAAATACTCAAAGAGGATATTCGTCATGAAATTCAGATATGTCCCAGAGTTGCCCCAACGAATTGCAACATTAATTTCAACACCAAACGAGTCAAATTAGCATTATTGGGACTTTGAGGTGGAAATACAGTGTAAACTCTTTATAACGTCACTCGATTTAACGACAAACTCCTTAAAACGTCGAAATTGCTCCGAAGAAATTTACGATTTTTTTTTTGAAATTCCAAGAATATTTGGTCAATGTTTATTTCGTATTTTTAATTAGATTTCAAAAGAGTAGCTTATAATTTCAAGAATACTCAATAAGGAAATGAATATTCCAGCAGTAAAACGAATAGAAAAGGCCGTTTACTTCCGTTTTTATATTGTAACTAGCTTAACAAAAATAGCCTAATCAAAATAAATTAAATTCAAGATGCCATTGCGGTTTAATTTATAGTTAAAGGTTAAATAAACTTTCTAGTGAATCGAAAGAAACAATTAAAAAACTTTCATATCCATGTACACTACTGTCGCCATTTACGGTATGTAACATACTCGTCGTAGAATGATATACATTGAAAAAACTTCTAATTACTCCGCATATGGCATTAACGTATTTCCGCGAGTGGAAGATGCAATTATGAGACAAATTAGTCTATTAAATTCCATGTAAAGCGACGATTATTATTCTAATGCGTTTGACTGTGAAAATCGTCTAGCGAGTTCAACGTTTGAATCNATATCTTTTATTTCTCTCCATTTAACGACCACTCTTTATAACGCCGAAAAATGTTCAGTCCCTTAAGTGTCGTTATATAGAGTTTACACTGTATTTCAAATTTTAATATGGTGGGACAATTCTGAAGCAAAATTCAAATTCAACATGTCGAAAATTACTTTTCTGGTTGTTTATCCTGCACGCAAATTACTTCGAAAATGACCACCCTCTTTTTTGTTGGGTTTACGTATGTCCTACATTTAATTTAACAAGGGCGTAATTTATTAACCAATAATAATGCAATCATTAAAATAGGCGTTTTATCGAAACGACCCACATCATGTTGATGAGAGCTAATAAATTAGAAATCGTAGTTACAATTAATTGTTGATCAAGAGCCAATTTTCATTTTAATCTTTCAGTAGAAAAAAAGTTATTGAAATAACTTTATTCTATTTATTACAAAAACAATTCCCCTTATTAATGTCGATAATTATAAGGAACTTAAGTGCATAATTCCACTATGATTACATAAATCCTGTTAATCAAATTAAACAGCTTATTACGAATAAATATGCAAATTTAAAGTGTAATCCTTAATATCTTCCTGCAGAATTCAGTTTTACTTTATGAATTACCTACTTAATGTTCGTCTTCCTCTGTACGCAACTGTCTCAAATAATTACCATAAATACATAAGCGAATTTCCCGTGGAATTAACAGGCTGTTTTTAATAGCAATTGTACGAGAAAGATTTACGGCTGTGGTAATAGTAAAACAATTCCAGCATCGCCTCGTGTATCTCCTATTATTTTACAGATATGATGCTGAGAACACGCTGATCTTCTCATAGGCTATCATAATTCACTCATGTGGTGCTGTTTAATGTGGATATTTTACTTATTAGGTAGTGTTGTAGACATCTAATAAGTGCTTATCCAACATGTGGACAGAGACATAGATAAATACAATGAAACATTATCAATTAATAAAAGATGGTCGAACGAAAGTCAGACTATATATTTATATTAATTCATGAAATAACAACACTTGGTTTTGTTTCACTATATGTTTCGGCTGTTATGCCATTATCAAAGAGTTATACTGTAAACTAACTTAAATGAGTAAATTTCTTCTTTTAAATGGAACGAACTACCTAGATATTATTAGTATTATTATTATGAATCTCTTCTACCAGTAACAGCTTTTAATAATGGGGATACCCCAAAATCTATGTGGTCATTCAATAAAATTTTGTTATTGTTGTTTCTTGTGATTTCTAGTATTTCTAATAAATCCAACCATTTTCCTTTACTTTGTGTATGTAGCAATTTGAAATTATTTATATCTAATGTATGCTTGTTTTGTATGAAATGGTTTACTAAATTTGTATTTTTTGAGTGTTGTGCTATTGTTTTTTGATGTTCAACCAAACGAGTTTTTATTGAACGACCCGTTTGACCTACATATATAGAATCACAATCTTTACATTTAATTTCGTATACACCACTTTTCTCAATGTTTTCCTGTCGTTCCTTATTGTTTACTAATAGAGAACCCAGATTCATTTTATTTACTAATATTGGTCTGATGTTATGTTTTTGTAATCTATTTTGAATATTAAAACTCAATTTAGGTATATAATTAATAAAACAGAATTTGTTGGCAGTTGTATTTGTTGTATTACGATAGAATTGGTTACATAATACTTTTTTGTGTTTTTTATTTATCATTTGCTTGATAAGGTCAGTACTATAACCATTATCATATATTTATATGAATTTAGTTTTTACTTTTCTTCACTGGGTGGCCGATAACGGTAAAATTTAAAATTTTCATTTGTAAGGGAAATTTCTAAATATTTCTGAAATTACACACAACTTCTAATGGCCTACGTACGCATTAGACACAGTTGTTGTTGTTGTACATATGCTGATATGTAAAAACAAAGAAGACTGTAAAAACAATTACAAGTTTTTTCTGAGAGTTTACAGATTTTCTGGTTTATATAAATGGTGTTATCCCGTTCTTCATTTGAAATTCTATGTGAACCATTAGCGCCATTTAACAGTACTGAGAAGAAGGTACATATTGTCTTGCTTAGTTACGTGCATCCGTATCGGTATTTGTAACTTTTTTTTTAATTTGCCGTTACACTTTTTGCAATTGCATTTTACAGAAATGCAATAAACTAGTATGAAGCACTTATCCTTACACGTCTTAAAGCATTAGTGGTTCTTCTGTAAAATAACGAAACCACAAAGAAATAACTTAACCATTAGAGATGTACAAAATGGTCTTTAAAAGTATTTAAATACAAAATGCAAATACATTGTCGATTTGTTATTACAAATGTAAAATACAAAATAGATGTATTTTAAATGTTAAATGCAACTGAAACTAAAGGATTTTTTCAATTAGTTAATTTCTTAAAAAATAGTTTTTGAAAAACTACATAGGTAAATAATTTATCATTTTTGCTTTACTGTGTGACCTGTACGATTTTTGGTAGACAGAAAATAAACATGCAAAAAAAACATATAAGAATTAATTATCAAGAAGGTAGGACATTAATAATATTTGTACGTATGCACATATGTGTTGAAAACTACCAAGAATTACTGTAACTTGAATGTGAATCTAAACATTTGTTTTACAGACAACTCTACAGCAGGCGGTTATTCTTCAGCCCAGGATGGCTCAGTTGGAAACATTGGAAGCAAAGGTGAGATAATATATTCTTTGTCATATTCGGCAATGAAGGAAAATAAATCGAACATTAATTGAATGCATGTAATTCAGATGTACCTTTATCAATTCGACAAATAATTTAAGTAGAAATTCGTGAAAAATGAGAGAAAAATAATGAGGTTTTCAAAATGATCTCTTTACCAAGTATTGTACAGAAAGTACAATAAAATGAAATATTATCATCCTAAGCTCTGCGTACATAGGTTTTGCAGATTTAGAAAAAGCTTTAGACAATGTTAAATGGGACAAGATGGTAAATATACGTAAAAATCAGAGGATGAGTTACAGAGATAGAAGAGTGATACTTAGTTTCTATAAAGAGCAACAGACAATTATAGAGCTGGAACTGCAACGTAGAGAAGTAAATATTAGGAAGCGAGTCAGACAGAAGTGCACACTGCCACCGCTATTGCTTAATCTATACATTGAAGACGTGATCATCATCATTAAAGACAGTACAACTGTAGTGATAGATATACAGAGGAAAAAGATTAGTATGATTAGATTTGCAGATGATATAGCAGTATTAGCATCTAGCAAGGAGAGGTTAGAGACAGCTTTAAATAAAATGGTAATGGTATTTTATGAAAATAAATAAAAGTAAAACAAAAATACTGGTATGCAAGGGAAGAAAAAGTAGGGAAAGAGAGAATTTACAGATAGGAAACGAAAAATTAAAAGAAGTGGCTGATTTTAGGTATCTAGGAAGTCAGATAAGTCAAGACGGAAGGAGTAGTAGGGATATAAAGCAGAGGATAGCGTAGGGTCGAGTCGCTTTCAATAAAAAGAAGTCACTTCTATGTTCGCGAAAGATTAATTTAGAAATTCGAAAAAGATTGTTAAAGGTGTATGTTTGGAGCGCGGCGCTGTACAGGTGCGAAACATGGACGGTGGGCGCGACGGAAAAGAAAAGATTAGAAGCGTTCGAAATGTGGTGTTACAGGCTAATGATGAGGATACCATGAAGAATAGGAGAACAGAGCACTCTATGGGAATCAATAAGAAATGGGCGGTATAGGTTGGTAGGACATCTTCTCATGCATGAAGGTCTAGTCAGAGACATGTTAGAGGCAGAAACAGGAGTTAAGAAGAGTAGAGATAGATCTAAATTTAAATACTTTTCGCAAATAATTAAGGATATGGGATGTTGTAGATTTAGGGAAATGCGAAGACTAACACAGGAGAGGAAAGAGTGGAGGTGCGTGTCCAAACAGTCTTAGGACTGACGATCTAATGATGATGATGAAGATCTGAAAATGCCATTTACTAAATAAGACGAAAGGCTTACATATAAAAGTATATTTCATCCATTGTAGTTAAACGGAGAAAATTGACAACGTCTCGGTATCCTTGTTTGTATCCGTTGGTGTGTCCTGCAAGTGCTTAAGCACTCGTTCGTATTTGACATTCGCGTCTTTCGTACTTTATTGTAATGAGCACAAATCATTTGAGAATCTCTTTGTGCGGTGCAGTAAAATTGCACGTACGCTTTTCTCGCAATTTAACCGATTTACAACTCTTACGATTTATGCCTACCTACAAGATAATGCTCTTTGCCATGATATATGACTTTGCTGGTATTATTGACTTCATTACTCTTCAACGTGTGCGGTACTAATTGTAAGTCAGTTATTTATTACTCAAAGAAAGCACAACATATACACATACACAGGCACTTACATACGATACTATCATGTAAACGTTAATAACAACAATAATAAATTACTTTTACATAATGCTTTCTAAGAATTCTCAAAATTCTGATGAAGTCCCCTATTTGTAAAAAGTAATTTACCTTGTAAAATTATAGAGGCACACCCACACCACTTACTTATTTAATTTTATTAATTTTCCCATTGAGATAATGTTTAATTTGATGTAATTGTCCGTTTAAAATCGGCGAAAATGACGATTACATTGTAGTTTTGATAATACATTGACATATCAACCGATTTTGTTTATAACTAGTACACATTAACATTACATTCACGTTAAATCTTCAAATGAAACTTCTTTATCGACGGTAGGAAAGAAATTTACTGGGATATAAAACCGAAAAGCGTAACGTCACGCGTCACGCGTCAGGTGTGACCCCTGGTGGATATGTCCAAAAGGAGTAATTTTTACAGGCTTCAGAAGCTATGTTATATGAAGAAGCATATGCGTTAGTATTTGTTTTAATTTGTAATTCCTCTCTGCAGTTCTGCATGGTGGACGTGTAAAAGTATTTAACAAAACTAAACCAATATTCCGCATTCGTTCGCTCGAAATAAAATTGTATTTTTTTGATGTTTAATGCAATGGTTTAATTAAAAAATACTACTATAACATACAATCTAAAAAAGTTTCTTCTTCTTTGTTTACTTATGTACTGTATAGTATAGTGTAATATACGTTCAAAGTTTCTATTTGTTACAGATGGCCAGTATAGAGGTTTCTCTGTCGAATTCTCACAGACGAAAAAAAAGTGGCTCCCTTTTTCGTACAAGTGTTTCAAAAGACGGTGAAGTCGAAGCTTTAAGAAAATCTATAAGGGAAAAGGACGATGCACTTCAGAATGTGAAGCTCATCGTGCCTGGGTTAAAACTTAGAGAATCGTGCAATAGTAACCAACCCTTTACGGAGAAAGAAAAAGCGCAAATTGATAACGCTCTTACTACATTAAAGTCGGAAGTTGAAGCGAAAAAACTGGCAATAAAGAATCTAAAAATGGCTCTAGACCGCTTGGATATTTCAGAGTAAGGAAAATACTATTTGAGTCGTTTACATGAGATCTATCTTCTGAAAAGTATAAAAAATTTAATTTTTGAATTTTGTCATGAGCAGACCAAAACAGTTGCTTAATTGATAAGTATTTTGTGGCATTAAAAACCTTCTACATACAACTTTCCCCTCCTTCAATGTCATGTTAAGGGTTGAACAGATACTTAAGGTTACCTTTAACTTTAACACTCATTTTCAGCTGCCACTTGACTCATTTTGATTAAAAATATCTTGGGATGCAACTAATCACTTGCTCTCATTAAAGAACCGTCCTTAATGGTACTTTTATTTGTATGCTTTACCTCATATGGGTTATATGCAACGTAACCATGCGTCCCGTTTTGAACGGGACCATCCCTTTTTTCGATTATCGGTCTCGTTGTTCCCAAAAAATTCTCCGGGACACATAATTGTTCCGTTTTCTGAGATCGCGCGAAAATTATGGGGTTCGATCAACGTGTCAGTTAATTTGGCTTTTCAACTTAATTAAATTAATTAAATGTTTCCATAGAAACTCGTAGTGTGGAAGTATTCGAACACATTCACGCCAACAATATTCAACATAAACTTAACATAGCTTTTGTATTTTAATTGAATATGTTTTTTGTTTGCCTGCAATAAATGCGTCAGTAGAAAGAGTATTTTCTTAAATGAACAAATTGTGGACTTCTGAAAAAACCCAGTTAGAGATTTCAGTTATGAAGGCGATGTTGATAACTATAAGGTGGATATAAAAAGACATGCTAAGAATTTTATTTTTATTTAAAAGCATTACCATTACGTATATTAAAAAGAATTTGTTCCTCTGACAAATATAAATATTATGTTGCATAATATTTTTAATTTATAATAAAATCTACCTTTTTGTAGATAAAAAATATTAAAAAACGTGTTTTTTGTTTTTTATTAATAACTTGCTAATTGACGTAAATAAACCGATGCCCCGTTTTGAGTAAAAAAATAAATGATCACGTTAGTTATATGACATTCCATCACTGTCCATGAAGAAGGTGTCTGCTTTCAGCTGCAGGAGTTAGTTTCAAAAATATTGGAACTAAAAGACTATCGCTCTAGAAGACTGTATATATAGAGAATCTGTAACTGAGTTCCGACATTTGGTCAGAACGTTACGGAATGTCACAGATTCTTCCTGAATGATCTATACCTGAATGTTTTAGAAGGTTCGAGAATGTTCTCGAATGATAACCAATATTTCCTTTGCGAAGCGAGGGTAATCCGGCTTGTATTATTATAAAATTTACAAGAAACGAAGAATGAATTGTATTTAGTAGAAATATCCAAAATGAATCGTCTATTTTATAACTAATTCGAGTAAATTTTTGTATTAACATTCTGACTACTTTGTTCTTGTGTAATTTATAACCACGAAAGCAAACAAGCGTCTCTAACGTTACATTTCTGTCTATACTATGCCGTTCGGAAGGCCGCGGTTATGCATTTGAGTAATTCAGTCGCGCTCATATTTCATGTTTAATGTAGCAATTCTTCCACGTCAAATTATTATCTAGATATGCACACATAAATAATGACACATTTGATATCAAATACGTGACATGAGAAGAAAGACTATCAGGAAACCGACCACAAAATGAACTAGTTCTTGACTATTTTCTTACGTAGACACTTAGACATAAGGTATACGTATACCTATTACACATAAAAAATGCAAATTATAAGATAAAAATATAGGTGCATATTTTCTGATTTAAGAACAACTACATCGTGGAATTTAGTCCAAATTTGAATTGGTTACAAAAGAAGCTATGAATTATGCTTGGAGTTCGCAAAAACGCATTTTCATCAAAATACATGTCATCTCATGCAAGTTACAACTGCCTGTAGCTTTTATGTCATACAAATTGTATCATAAGAGAAGCACATTTTAGAGGTCCAAATTTGAAACTGGTTAAAAAGGACTGGAAATTATAAATCAAGAAGTTATTTTCTAAGTTTATGAATTATTTCTCTGGATTTCGAAAAAACACATTTTCGTCGAAACATCACACACCTTGGCGCGCTTATTTATACAAATTTAAATCTGCTTGAACCCCAGGAAAAAACAAAAGTTAATGCGTCCAATACATAAATTCGTTAAAAAAAAACGAATGTTGTGGATCATTTCATCTTTTGTGGTTTGAACAAACGAAAGGAAGGAAATTTTGTGGAGTTCAATTCTAAAAATTGATTAAAAGGGACCGGAAGTTATAAATCAATTTTGGTATATTTTGGACATTCGGGCTTCGAAGCATACATTCTTTTGGAAGTCCCTTTTCATAAAAAAAATAAATGACAAACTTTAAAATTCCTAAATTTGCCGTAATTCATAATTTTTACAAGAAATGCGTAACTGGAATACGGAAATGAATAGGAGACCCGATACAGAGTACAGCCTCTGCTTCTGTCGCTCTGTTTATTATATTAAGTTTATTCTAATTAAATTTCATTAACTGCATTTAATCTGTATTTTATTCACGGAATTGCACAAATTATTACCATTCGAACTATGTAGATTCTATCGGATTATTTTTTGCCGATGTTTTCTCATACTTGCTTTCATATCCCGAGTCGAAAAATTGGGACTCATTTTATCCTCAAATGAACTATTTAGACTCATTTTTTCCTCATTTAGACGTTTTTAATCTCAGATACCTCAATAAGTTTTCATAAGACTCATCACATTGGATTCTAAAAAGTCTCATTTCATTCTCAGTGTCTGCAATCCTATGGCAAATCAAAATAGTCCTCAATTTAACCTCAACAAGAAAAGAATGAGACTTTTTGAAGACAAAATGAGGTTTCCTAAATAATCTTTACTCCTCAAAAGTCTCATTTTGTCCTGATACGGGAAAACCGCGGATAAAATGAGACTTTTGAGTCTTGTAGTTTGAAATATCCCTAAAAATTCTATTGAGATCAACTGAGGACAAAATGAGTCCCAATTTTTTGACTCGGGATGCTAAGCTGATTTAACGCGACATGATTGATAAAGGCACTCCACAGATTCTGATATGAAATAGGTATTACTATATTTGATAAAAAAAAACATTTTGTGCAGTTTCGAGACAAATGTACAAGTCTTCGCTGATAACCTTTTGAATGAAATACCTAAATGCTAAATTTCGTTCGTTCCTACCGCCCATGGGGCACTTCCATCTCGAAGAACTTGTTCAAACAGCATGATATTGTAATCGGTTACATAGACAGCACGTATGGTTATTATCTGCACGGTATATACCTCTACATAGAGAGACGCACCTAAGTATAAATTTATATAAATTCTATGTACAACGTGTCGTTCCAGCAACATCGACGTGCGAATCCGACAGGCGGAGTTGGAATTCCAGCTGGGTCGCGAAGAGCTTAATTTATTGACTCTGCTAGAGGAGGCGAGGGCGCTTCAGGCCTGTCTCGACGAGGCCGAAAGAAGATTCAGCGCCCCAGACGCTCACACGCTATACAGGTAACACTGACCACTTTATGATCGATATACCATCTGGGACGTATGTCTAAATATCTTTAGGTGGTATAATTTTCTGCCCATCACAACGTGTTACGACTAGTGAAATTTATTAATCGTAACACACCCTGAACAAAGTTTTAGTTTTTCCAGTGAAATAATGTGTTTAATAAAACTGTAAAAACTGCCCTTTTGCCAAAAAGTCTTGACTTACATGTAGTCTAGTAGCTAGGTGGTATAATTTTCTGCCCATCACAACGTGTTACGACTAGTGAAATTTATTAATCGTAACACACCCTGAACAAAGTTTTAGTTTTTCCAGTGAAATAATGTGTTTAATAAAACTGTAAAAACTGCACTTTTGCCAAAAAGTCTTGACTTACACCTACTCCAGTAGCTAGGCTTTGTTTCTCTAAAAATAACTTACAGATTTCACGAATTAAAAGTTCGTTTAACAAAAATTTCTTTAATTGCAATAGTTGGTGGTATCCATATATTTGAACGCGCAGTCTCACATTTTTAGGTTTTTGCATACAAAAATGAGTACATCTGGTCGCACTACTGCGTGCCAATTTTCAAAAATAGCAGTCCCATTAGTTTCAGATAGAAGCAAATAAACACCCACCTTTAGGAGGTTAAATTTGATACTAAAGAGACTATTATTTTTGAAAGTGGACATTCAGTAATCTCAAACCTGTGTCTACTCTCTTTCTTTAATGATCTGCTCGCCCTTGAATACTGATTCAGATTTATGAATGCATAATGAGAATATCTGGTCTCACTACTGATGATTAAGGCCAGCTTTCAATAATTCGATTCTCATTAGTATCAAGACTCGAACAAATAAGTTCCCACCTTTTGCGAAGTTAAGCCTGATACTAAGGAGACTCCTATTTTTGAAAGTATACACTCAATACTGTAAATAGTTGTTCTCATTTATGCATGCAAAAATGTGAGTATCTGGTTTACTCTCACTTTAATGTAGCCAGTTTATTTGAAATTCATATAATTGTCAATAGAATTTCAAACATGTCAGTGTCTCCTTTCTCTTTTATTGAGTATCTATTCGCTCCTTGAGTAATGTCTTAGATTTTCGTATGCATCAATGAGGGTAGTCATACTACTGAGTGCCTATTTTTGAAAGTACACTCAGCAGAGTCTGAAATCTTGATTATCTACTCGTCCTTGAGTAGTGATTAAGATTTATGTACGCATACATGAGTACTGAGTACTGAGTGCTAACTTTAAACACTAAACACTCAGCTGGGTCTCAAAACTGTGAATGTCTACTCTCTTTTCTTGATGATCTACTCGCCCTTGAGTATTGATTCAGATTTTTGGTCACACTACTGACGATGAATGCCAACTTTTAAAAATCGGATTCTCATTAATAGCAGATTCACTTATATAAAGTCCTACCTTTTGGAAATGAGTCTTCTACTGAGGATACTCATTTTTTTAAAAGTAGGCACTCAGTAGTGCGAACAGATACTTCCTTTAAACATATAAAAATTACAATCAGTATTTAAGAGCGAGTTGATCCTCAACAAAAGGAAGTAGACACTCACAAGATTCTACTCACCTTATGATGCATTTCAAACTACTACACACCCTATTTTGTGAATAACACCCAATGTCACTCACATATTTTGCATTACGGAATTCTATGCGTGCTCTATGATCATAATTATTACATTATTGTTGTACTAAATTAAAAGATCATGTTGATGTAACAGTTTGAGCAGTACACTGAGTAATAATTGAGAGTAGGCGACTGCATTCCTTCTCCATCGATATATTCGTACATTAGCACTTCGCTTTTACTGACACGGCTTACAAACACATGGAATTACAATGTATTACATTTTCGAAATGAACAAAAATTATTGCCTATGGATATTTCTTGATCCTTTGTTACCACAACTTTTGCGAACACGTGTGCAATAGACAGATTTACAATGTTGACCACCATTCACAGTGGTATACGTATCTGCTGTTTAATACACCCACTTCCAGGAAACTTAACAACTAAACACGTTTTTGCACAGTAAACAACGATTGAAACGTCGTTACTCATTTAATTTTATATTATGTATACCGGAAACGTTAATTTAAAACTAGTACAGCTGTACAAAAGGTAACTAGCCAGATAAATTAAACGTAGACTTGGTTAATGTAGATAACTGTTTCTACTAATTTCAATACTATCGATAAAAATTATATTAATATTGTTTTATCGATTGATGGGATTCATAATTACAATCAGATTTTAAGTTAATGAAAAGTGGGTGATCAGTCGTCATACGTAGAAAGCGATTATATCTCATTGGATCCCACCAGCACAACGAAAATAATTCCAACAAAATATGCACCATTTCTTTATCATCTTTATTCAATTCGAGTCAAACATTAACCAAGAATTATTCAAATCAAGTCAACCGATGAATTTCAATCACACACTAAACAAGAATAATTTACTTTAAGAAATTCATTAATCTGTCAAGTTAATCTATATTAAAGTAATTTAAGCAATAAAATTTACACAATTTAATCAAGTCAGTCAATTCCAAGACATTTAATAACAACTAGATCAAGTAAAAAAGGAAACTCGTTTTATCTAAATTTATATGTGATTTTCAGCAAAAATAAAATTCAAGAAAGAAACATCTCAAAATGCGTCCTACTATTTTATCTATCTTTGTTCCTATTGACTTCGACAACGCCCTTTTGTTCTGTTACGTATCCCAAAACCTCCTTATTTCTAGCCCTTTCTATATACGGTATCTATCTCATCATCGACCTATAACAACTCATCTCAATTCTCAAATGCTGCTAACTCTTTATTTTTTGTCATGCCCACTGTCCACGTTTCGCACCCGGACAGATCTGTGGTCTAAGCTTTAATAATCTTTTTTTGAATTTCCAAATTCTCTGGTGAGCACAGAAATAATTTCTTTTTTTCAAAAGTTAATAATCCCTGTACAAAATATTGAAAAAAGCTTGAAAGCTTGGTTACGCAATAAGCCTTCCTTTTGAAAATATCAAAATCAGCGGATGTCGTTCGGACATATAGGGTCTGTAGTTAGGCCAATGATTAATATTTTATGGGGGAAGCGCTATGAACATATGTGTATTTGTACCTCGTTTTCCACAAACAGTAGCATATAGTGCCAAAAGTACTCCATACTAACTACGCAACGGTATTTGACTATATTTACCGAAACACCCTGTATAACCCTCTTTATATTAAATGATGTTCTTGAATCCTACACAAACTGAAATTTACATTAAAGCGGTAGGCAAACAGGACGCTTCGTTAGGCAATTTATGTGACAAGTGATGAAAACGCTCTTTGAATTTTTATTTATATGTAGCTACATACATACACATATGTATATATATCTATATTTATTTACAAAGTAACCATTAATAAGGGTTTCGATGAATTATTAATATATTATCTTCGAGCAGGTGTGTAACTAACCTTGGTGTTCCCGTTCGACTTTTAACTGTTGAAGTGGAATTCGATCCACGCAATCCTAAATTTGGAGCCGGTCCAAAAGAAAAACAAGCAGGACTTTGGGTGGACTGGGCATTGCAGGACACAGGAATTAAAGAAGGCGACAGGTAAAAAATTATTCGCTCAATTTACATTGTATGCGTGTCAAGTGGGCGAGATTCATTAACCTCCTACAGCATTAACGACACTTCTTCAGGAAGTGGGTAGTGGTTTTTGTTAACCGACTCTGAGATCGATTAATTAAAATAGACAAAAGCTGATTCAATCACAACACGAAACAAGTGTGACCCTTCAGGGTCGTGCAGTCAAATTACCAAGTTCCCTGTGATTTAGTCCCATCATTTTCGAAAACGTTGCAAAAAAAAGTGTTGTGCTGTAATGTGCTAATCTTCAAAATTTGTTATTAACGAAAAAAAGCTGAAGCACTAACATAGCTGGTTCAAAAATAAACCATCCCACTAAATTTCTGAAATAATTCTTGTGAAATTTTCTTTTCCACAACATACCTAACCTAACCCAAAAATGGCTTATTTTTGAAAAAATTATATTAGAGCACCAATTTTTTTATTGATAACGAATTTTGTGAAGCAGCAGATTAGAGCACGAAACTGGCGCAATTCAGAACATTAATTAATTTTTTCAAAAACAGCGGGATTAATAGAGCTAGTGAACATAATTCCCGAAGGGTTTGATGAATAAAACAATAATAAATACATAAAAATATTAACAAATATTTGAAACATCAGTTACCCCCGGAACAACTTAATTCAAAAGTTTTTCAAAAAGTCCAAAAGTTCATTTTTTGTTAGTAATTTGGTTCATACACAAGAATCACCAAAATCAGTCAAGAATTGCAAGCTGTGGACTGTCATACGTGCAGACTAACAGACTGAATGAGTGTCATTTCTCAAGGAAGTATTTTTGTTATAAAGGATTTAAAAATATATCGAAGAAAATCTCACCTTTCAAAAATCTAATTAAAAATTGGCTTCCTGCAAAATTACCCGATAGGTATACCACAAGCCCGGTTGAGGAACTCAAAGTATAAAGCAAATTCTGTGATCGCGATCGCTACCGGTGAATTTTTAATTCCATTTGCTGAAACCCCATGTATTTTATTTCTACAAAAACGCAGATAATATGAAACTTAATTTAAATCTTTCGTTCAATTATTGTTATCACTTTCCAAAACCATTATAAAAAATTTAACATTCCCGTACCTTTCCAACCAAACACTGCTTTATTTCTGATATAGAATCGGCATTTTAAATTTCTCTTAATTCTCTGTATAAACAATCAAGTTAATTACTGAAACTAATAATAATTTCATCCCACTTTCTCAGATTCTTCCAGGAATCACACACTTTTTTGCGTTTTTCGATTACAAATTCGGTTGTTATTACTAAATCTGTACCTAATAAGTACATCCGTTTTTTTTTTTTTGACGTCTTGATTCATTCTTGAACTCTTTAATTTTTGAATCATTTCTGAAGTTCACTTTCATCTCTTTCAAACGCAAATGATATCGTTAAAGCGGGGTTAAAGTAATATGTAACTGCGGATGCTACTTGCTACAGGTGTTGTCATTCATTGCCTTTTGTGGCGGAAGCATGGACGAACAATCGTCACGGTTTGGTGCCATACCACAATGAACAAACGCTTCCGGCGACGTTGTTACATTTTCCGGAGCAATATAATAACATAGCGAATAACTACTACTGTTAGCACTATTAGTACAACACCTGCATCAACTTTGAAACAAAAACGTATCAGTTGCTGTACGGCGAAGGAACTTTTCTAAAAGTTCGCAGACGACTGCTTTTAATCCTTAAATCCAAAATAAGTCAAAACTACAAAATATTCCGAAGAAATTGAACACGTTAAAACAAAAAACGTCAACGAAAGAAGAAAAACTGTGAATTTAAAAGTTTCTTGTTGCAGGGGAAGTATCATAAGACTCCGCTTGTCATAGCTGCGCTCTTATAGGTTTGAAGTTAAGGTTTAACTTATAGTATTGGGATCCGTCAAATGGGAGGAGCCTAAAAACATGGCGCCGATTAGGGAAAATTTATAGTAGTTCCTATAGTGTACCGTGCAATTTCCAAGTTTTTAAATTACGATAAAATGATAAGTATTGACACAATATGTGATTGGGCTGACACAAAGCCTCGGAAAGGAAATTTCGTTGAAGGTGAGCGTGTTTTTAATGCCAATCACATTATAAAATTCGGAAATAACAAATCCGGAAGCTAGCCTTCAAATTCCGTCAAGTTTACTGCCTACTTTTTACAAACTTCGGATTTAAAAAGTGATTCACGTTATATAATTGGTGAGGTGATTCTGGGTGATTTAAGCAATATCATATCAATGACTTGCACGTGCAAAGCCGATTTAAGAGAACGTTGCAAACACATTATTGCAACTTTGTTGTATTGCAGCAGGTAGGTTCTTAACCTCAAAATACTTATATCGTATCATTAGAATTGTGTTAAATCAATTACACAGGAATAAATAATTTCTCACTTTATAATTTTAGTATGATTCTAGTTTTAAATATTAAGGTTATGGCTGATGGTAAATACTTGCTGAAATATAATCATGTGCATTAAAATGACGTGAACAAATTTTTATTCCGGAATTCACTTCTTTGATACCTACTGCTTTCATCCAAGCTTCTATTAGTTTACTTTTTTCTCTAATTTTCCGAATATATTTTTTACATATATAAAACGGTTAGTTTTTATTGGAAAGTAGTTAATGTAGGTGAAGAGTGAAGATCTATGTCTGAAGTGCTATTGCAGCTTTTCACTGAACATATTAACTTTTTATTTGATTTAACTTTAGAAGAAAACTTCGTCGACTCCATCATCAAAAAAATTTTTACTTTTTTAACGTGTTTTATTATTTTAATAAACAATTTTACAATTTGCGTGCACAGTTCCTATCTAAATTTTTCCCTCATTCGAGTTATAAATTTTGCCACCAGATGGTGTATGCCCATTTGACGGATCCCAATACGTATGTTATTGTTTTGTTTTTAAATTCAAGAACGGGTGAACCGATTTGGCTGAAAATTGGGGGGGGGAAGTAGCTTACAACCAGGAGACGGACATAAGTTCCCGTTTTATCCCGTTCCCGTGGGGGGGAGGAGTGATGAAGAGGAGTTGCAATGTTTAAATGAAAGGAACATATATTATTTGTGGTCAGATTTACTAGAAACTTGGTCTTAATGGTCTCTCATTTAATTTCTGAAAGACCTATCTCAACATTTTAAAAAATTCAACCTCCAAAGGGGGGGGTAAAAAGGTGTTGCAAATTTTTGTTTGGGACATACTTTATTTCTGGTTGAATTTACTTGAAACTTGGTATATATGCTGTTTGATATTATTAATCAAATGAAAAGAGGTTGCAACGTTTCCATGGGGTATATTTTATTTGTACTCGGATTTACTCGAAGGTTGCTCATTGTTGAAATTAAGCAAATACGTGTTTTGGCAATTTTTAAAAATCAACCCTTAAGGATGAAATGTTGTTGCTATGCTTGTATTTGAAATCTAAGATGGTGACATTACGTAAAATTAAAACGTTGTAAGGGTGAATTGGGAGTTAAAAGGTTTTATGGAGAAACAATATTAATTTCTGCGAGCGAAGCCGCGGGGAAAAGCTAGTATTTTTATAAAACTACCTGTTTATCTATTTCTGTTGCACATGTAAGCGAAAAACCTGTATTTATAAACATAACAAAACGCATCCGTTATTTTTATTTGCTCATTTTGCGTTCGTACAATGTATCTTGTAACGACGATGTGCACTTTCCCATAACTGCAATGGAGATTGCATATTCGATTACATTTACCGTAAATATACATTTATAAAATCTAATGCGTTGTTTTAAAGTGCCTGTCGGTTGAATTAAATTGTTGCACCATTAAATAATGTTTTATTTTTATCAAATGAAATTCTGTAATTTGAATAGCATATGTATACATATATAAAAAAGGACAATTAAAAGTGAAACATGATTCCCGTGAGGAAAATCCTTTTTTATGAAACATTGTCTTTAATTTTAGAAATATTGCTTTGAGTCTCTGACTTGAGGGACAAAAGTGCAACATTCCCTTCCGTGTAAGAAATCTCTTTTATCGTTTATTAGGAAAGGATATCATCTTCAGTTCATTTTGTGAAATCAAGAAAAATATCGTAAAATAGGAACTCGTATATATCCGTCAATCATTTGTCAGTAAATTATAGCTGATCGTTTTCGCAAAAAGCAAAGAAACTATTAAAGGGTAGGGTAATAATTTCGAGTGAAGTTCCATACGCAGTGCCATACTTACGTCGATAGAGAACTTTACAAATATTATTTTGAGGAAAATAAGACAAATACTCTAATTAAAATTTGAACTTTGAAACTTTGAAAAAGACAACAAATATCAAAATGTACCAAAGGAAGAATGCACGACATTCCCTCCCGCGTGAAAAATGCCACCAGAGCCAAAGGCAAAAACGGAAAACAAGGGAGCCGTCCCTTCTTCTCGAGACCCATCCCGTATACGAGTCTTTACCATACCCCTGACCTAAAAGTACGATTTTTCTTGATTTCGAAAATAAGAAAAGGCAACATAGTCTTCCAAACAAGAAATCCCACTAAGTGTTTATTATCAGGAAAGTGCCCAATTTAACACCCGTTGCGTGAAAATGACCATTCGAGCCGAAGGTGACCATGCAGTGGTAAAATACTTTCCTAATAAGGAATTAATGCATTTCTTTCCCAAAAAAAAATTATGTATTAAATTTTACTTAACCAGAGACTTTGTAGGTACTGACAAAGACAGTGTGAAATGCAAAAATTATTTCTACTCGAATAGATTAATAGATTAAACTCATTGCAATGTGTTAAAAGATCGCTTTACACCATAAATTGTTTTTATATGTAATTTTAATTGTTCACACGTCAATCAGAGACATTTTACGAGATACATTCCTATTACAGAGATCAAATTTCTTCTGTATAACTGCCCGTTATAATAATAGCTATAAAACTGAGACTGTATCATCTCAGCAATATCATTGTTCGTAAGATTATACTCTACAATAAATATGAAATATATCTAGGTACTTCGCACCACGACGCCATGTAAACTGATCTCTACGCTGTAAATGTAGTTTCACTGTTTGTTTATGCATTAAAACGCCATCAATGTGACCTTATAAAGAATTTTAATTGAAAACGATGAGTCTCATATATATATATTAGTCTGATGGACACAAAATGATTATCTTTTTATATTTTCTGTATGATCATCATCATCATAAGGTCGTCAGTCCTAAGACTGGTTGGACACGTACTTCCACTCTTTCCTATCCTGAGCTAAACTTCGCATTTCCCTAAAACTAGAACAACCCACATCGTTAACTATTTGCGAAGAGTAATCTAATCTAGGTCTACCTCTACCCCTCCTAACTCCTGTTTCTGCCTCTAATATGTCTCTGACTAGACCTTCATGCCTAAGAAGGTGTCCTACCAACCTATCTCGCCTATTTTTGATTGACTTCCACAGAGTCCTCTGTTCTCCTATTCTTTCTAATACCTCTTCATTTCTAACCTTTTCTACTAACGGTATCCTCATCATCCGCCTATAACACCACATTTCGAACGCTTCTAACCTTTTCTTTTCCGCCGCGCCCACTGTCCATGTTTCGCACCCGTAGGATATATAATAATAAAAACATAATCATTTTGTGTCCATCAAACTGTTCAAATTAGTTCATAAATCAGAATATACAAAGATGAAATGTTAAAAAAAGAAAAAGTTTAGGTAGAAATAATAATTTTGCAGACTAGTGGAAGTCAATGGCAAAATCGTATTGGACAAAAGTCGAGAAGACCTTCAGAGGCTGCTTTCTGCAGCACCTGATCCTGCACAGATTGTTCTTCTTCGGGGGCAATTTGAAGAAAACAAGAACCTGTCCGTAAGTTGCGATAGTCCCGAAGAAATAACGAGCTTAAAAAGTGAACTGGGGGTGGTTCGAGAAAGGGCAGAAGAAACCCAGCGAATTAAAGATGGATTAATTGCAGACAACATCAGACTTACACACAGAATATCATATTTAGAAGAACAGGTTAGTGGAGACAAAAAAAAATTTTGGACTTTGCATGATGAGATATGAAAGGCTATAAATGTAGATTAGTAGTGTTCCATTTTTGCCATTTTGGAACGGAGGCGTAACAACATGAGATTATACGAATATTTCGTTAATCTTATTCTTATTTCAGGTTGCTGAACTGTTAAGTCGCCAACAAAAACTTGATGGCAAAGATATTCGTCAGCTGGCCCCCAAATCAACAACCACAAAACAAAACGTCACTAGTATTAATATTAATGCGCCACCGGGTACCGTTGCTTCGCAAAGCTGCAGTACCGCAATTCAAGTTTTTCAAAAGGGCCACCTAACTGCTTTGGTCAATCTGAACGAGGATCGTCCAAAAAGCAGTCTCTCTAGTAACGGAATATCAACTCCTATAGGTAAAGGTCACAGCCATAAAACACATCGGCACAAGCAGCATAAAGGACAAAACGAAGAAAATAATCCCAGAACCGTTTACCAAAACGGTTTCGACAAACACAAAGAGCGCACCAGTGACATAAATAAATCTTACGAAAATAGAATAAGAGACTACAAAGACAGTAGCAAGATGAATTACCGTAATGGTCACTGCAACAATAGCGTGTCTTTTGATTATGACGATAACAACTCCAACATCAGTCAGAATGGTTATAGTAATGAAGAAAGCGAATCTTTGAACGAAAAAGAGATGCAGTGGAAAGACAGACGAAGATCGTGCAATTTACAAGAAAGACTTGAGAACAAAAAAATCTTCAACAATCCCGATAACTCAGTTGCAAGTGATAGTTATAGAAAGGCAACGAAAATAGTTGAAGATCTAATGTATTACAAATCCAATGGTCACAACATAAAGGCCTGTGAAAAGATTGAGCGTTGCGGCGCAGATATATTGAGACACTTTAATTCCAGAAAATCCGCTTCTGTAGCCGAACTGCTGAATCAAAGGAACGACAAAAAATATCACCCAGAATTTAAAAGCGTTGAAGAACTGGACATGATAGCTTCTAATAACGTAATTACAACAAATACAAGTTTAACCAATGGTATTATCGATTCTAGAAGCGTCAAATCGTTGGATTTCGATAGTGATTGTACCAGTATTAAAAGTACAAATAACAGCGCTCAGAAATACACCGGATACACTTCAGAACCTATTGATGCAAACATAAGGCTGAGATGGGGAGAAAAAGCTAGACCAACACCACCTAAGAAACCGATTAGATTATCGCTTCATAAAGCGCAAAGTTTACAAATGGTGGATACGCAAATTTCAATTGCTGGTTTTGATCCTAGAAAACCTATGAAGAGAAACCACCGTGGTGAAACGCAAACATTAGAACAAGAATCTGCTGTAACTGCTACAAGAACGTCTTATAGGATAAATGCTTAAGAAATAAATGTTTTAGTCTTACTGTATATTAATGATCTCCTAATGTTAATACACTCTTAATTTCAGTACATAATTTCACTTTGTTTTAATTAAATAGCAATGAGTTTTATATTTACTTACAACACGCCATTTTCAATACCGCACTCTTTCAAACCGAGAAAACTTATAGAGCCACACGACAGTTGTATACAAATTATCTATGGAACCTAGTCTTTTATTCTTCATCTATGATTGTACAAACAACAAGAAGGAAGAAGAAGAGAAAATATAAATTATTAAAGCTAACATAACCTTTAACCCGTTAGTAATGAAACTTTTTAATAAATAAATAAATAAGACCGTTTACACATACAAAAAGTGTACTGTTCAGAAACATTACTGTAACAGTATTAATATAGTACTTTGCCATGTTAAAATATTTACCATATCCAATAAGTGTTTTAAGGTTAGGTGCATCGAGACAGGTATTTTGTACAAATAAATTAAATGTTCATTCAAAAAATTGTCCCAACAAATTATCCTTTGATTGTTTCAAGCCTAAAATATTTCAAAGAAGTTTTTCCTCCGATGAATGTCATTCAGAAGGTAAATTTTCGTTTCAAAGTAAAAACTTGATAATAAACACACTATTTTAGATGAAACAACTGTACCTTCAAATAAAACATTGGACATTAAGTCCATAACGAACGGTGATCCTCAATTAGAACACAAATTTAAAGTTTTATTATTAGAAACAGAAGTTTTAAGACAAGAAGGATGTAGAATTCCGTCAAATGACTTTTTGAAAGAGCATCATTGGAAGCAATTACTGCAGTTAGACTCAAAAAGTGCAAGAAGAAAATTATTAGAATTTACATTCAGAGTGCAAAAGAAAAGAGAATCACAACAGGTTAATTTATTACAACAGATTTAATCAATTAATGTTTTCATGCATTTACAGTTAAAAAAGGAATTGAAAAGAAAAGAGAGGGGAGAAAAACCACTTGTACCAGAATCACAGGGAGCACTCATTTATGATCTTAGCCATAATAGTATGCTTTTAAGAGTATATGACAGTACGATTGATAATTTTCATAATTGGAGAGCATTACAAGCAAGCATGTTCGGGCAAAAAATAGTTATAGACTGTGGTTACGATACTGAAATGACTGTTAGAGAAAACAGTAATTGTGCTAAGCAACTTATGTATGTTTTCTCAGAAAATAGGAAACATGATGGTAAAGATGGCTTCTTTTTAATAAATGTGAGTTATAACTGAACATTATATTTATAGATCCTTTTGATGTTTATTTTTGCAATATGAAAAGAGATACAATTTTATTTGATACTCTTAAAAAGTCTATTCCGACAATGGATGAACCATGGTTTCCAATGAATGTTTATGAATGCAGTTATTTGGACTTGTTTCCAAAAGACAAATTAGTTTACCTAACACCTCACTGTAGGGAAGTTTTATATGAGTATGATCATGATGCCATATATATTATCGGAGCTATAGTTGATAAGGTGAGCTTATAAAGACTTATCGATAATAAAAAAACGAAAATAATAACCATCTTGTTTGATTTTAGACTAACCCAGAGCCGCTTTCCCTTGCGAAGGCCAAAAAGGAAGGTCTTAAAATGGCAAAATTACCTCTCGATCGTTACCTTCAGTGGAGCTCAGGTTCAGGAAAAAGCTTGGCCATCAACCATGTTATCAACATTCTACTAGATATCAAAACAACAGGCGATTGGCATTATGCCTTACAACATGTTCCAACCAGAAAAGTAGAAAAAGTTATTACTAAATCATCAACGAAAAGATTTGGTGGCAGACTTAGCTTTGATAAGGATTCTGGCTTATTTGAGGAAAAAAAAGAGGCCTTTTGGAAGCCAAAGTGGTTAAATAAAAGTAAAGACAGCAGAATGAAGAGTGAAGAAAATAATACAGATGTAGGAAGACAAATTAATATTAAGAAGATATTAAATGATTAATAGTATTTAACGCTAAATCGTCTCTGTACATTTAAGATAATATGTATCATAATTTTTATTAAATATATGATTTTTGTTATATATTGTGTTCCTATGTAATTTGTATATTAAAAATTGTCTATACTTTCTTTATATTACACTGGCAATGAAATAAGAAGAACAAGTTCTTATATTATTTCAATAAGAATAATCTATAACACAAAAATCAATTTTCTAAATTTGTTATCTTACATGGTAATTTAAAATAAAAACGAATCAATTTTAATTAAACTTACCACAGCTTTGCAGTCTGTGTTTTACAGTGGACACTGTTTCACGTATTTAAACATCACTTTTAATAAATTAAGGATCAAATTAATACAACGATTATCATTTAATTGAAATTAGATATTTGAAAGTTTTTGACAAAAGTAAAACAAATAATATTAATTATTTAATAGTGAAAATTGCACAAAATCAAAGCAAGAAATATTTAGACATAAAACAAAGATTCATTGAATTAATTAAGGAAAGATTTAAGTGGTTTTTACTCATTTTGAGAAACATCCACACAATATTGATATGAGACAGTTATTTACCAGTTAAATGTTTTTAATGAAAAATTATGATAAAATTTAAATCCTTTTACAAATTTAATAAATCGGTTAATTTGACTGATGTGAAATAAAACCTTATTTTATTAAATTATTACGGCGTTTTTCAAATAACCTGTTACCCGCAACACACCTATTACACTGACGCGAGATAAATGTCCTTGACTTACCCTGACCTACATTACCAATATAATTTATGAATGTCGTCACATATTATGAATGAAAAAGAAATGTAGGAATAAGTTACGACGCTGTTGCCAAAATGACATAAAATAGAGCAATACTGAGATAATTTGCAACGTTATTTATGAGAAAAAATATTTTAAAAGTCCATTACTCTTTTCAATAACTATATAATTGATCGATTTGGAAAAAGCATATTTCTGTTTGATGTAGTAGTGCTACAGAAGGTTTACTTAACAAAAATTCAAGTTGTAGTCCAATTTGACTGTTTTATTGTTTTAAATGCCTTAATTATATCTTCAATTAGTATACAGTTTTACTACAATTCAATCAATTAGGAATAAAAAATTAATTATACATTTACAGTACTTTCCTTCTATCTGTGAAAAAGCCAGTAGCAGTAACTTGCAAACATGATAATAACTGGAGAAACAGATAACAGATAATTTTTGGGAAGGTGGGCGCAGATTTAAACTGAGTTCGTAAAAAAAGAAAAACTACTTATTATTCACGTCCGTCATATGTTACAATATTATTTACAAAAATATATTACCGTTTTTAAATTCTATAACGAATTTAACAACTGTAATAATACAAAAGACATGCAATAAATACCTTTAGTTGCGACGTCGTCTAACTCGTGATATCCTCCAAGCATTGGGTTCTTCATATTTATTGTACAAAGGCTCCAATCGCTGGTTCTTTTTGAATTTACTCAATTTTGTTGGGTCAGAGAACTTAAAGAAGGCAGGAGCAAACTCTACAAGCCATTTTGGATCTATTGCCGTCACTTCCCTCATATATTCTTTCGTGGTTTGTACAAGTTCATGATAAATAACCCTAAAATTAAAAGAAGAAAAATGTTTGATTTTTAAAAGGAAATACTATAATTAACGTACCATTCAGGTTGTCTGTTAAACAAAGCACTCGATGGATGAATGTATACCACTTGACTGTCAACAAGGGTCCTGTATCCTTCCTGAGGATCTTTCTTTGCTGCGTTTCTAAAGAAACCAGAACAAACTGCTTTCTGAACTCTTACAGTGTTTTTTTCACAGGAAACCACATCAAGTTTATGTCTGAAAAGGCAAAAATAAAATGTATTTAAAAAACATTATTTTTAAATATTAAACTTTTAAATATTTTATACCTGTCCATAATTCCTAATAATTGTTTCCGAACATCCTGTGCCCTTTTTAAAGTCCTTATCTGTACGAAATTTTCATAACACCAAGCGTTAGAAAATTTATTATTTTTCCAACTATTATAAACAGCTAAGAGGGTAAGATGATCGCCTTCAGGTTGATTAAATTTGGCTTTTTTCTGATCAGCCAACGCCTGTTTATCCTTAGGTCGATAAAACACATTTTGGACAGACAGCATGCTGACTACAGTCAGAATTTCATCAGAACATTGAAGGGCCACTGACATGATAAGCATTTTCGAAAGGTTTGGTTCCAATGGAAATTCAGCCATCTAGAAATAAATTAATAATACATAATTAAGAATCATCAAGTAACCATAAACAGATAAAAATAATAATATAAATTAATTCTAATTACCCTTCTACCCAATCTAGTTAACAAGCCTTCGTCGTCTAAAGCAGACAAGGAATGAAGTTGTTCTAAAGCCATAATGAGTGATTCAACTGGAGGAGCGTCCATGAAATCAAAATGAAGAAGATCATTGATACCCATAGTTTTAAGTTGCAGTACAGTAGTGGCTAAATTAGTTCTCTGTATTTCCGGAACAGGGGTGGGTAGCATCTCATCTCTGTAAGCCCTTTCAGTATAAAGTCTGTAACACTTTCCAGGTCCTGTTCTACCGGCTCTACCGGCTCTTTGCTTTGCTTGAGCCTATAAGTAAACATTTATTCAATAATTTCTAATAAAAATTACGATGTGTAATTAATTAACAAACCAAGTTAATATGTACCTGCGAAATTGGAGTTACAACCAGAGAATCCATTCCAGTTTTTGAATTATAAACTTTTTGCTTTACAAATCCAGGATCGACAACGTAGAATATTCCGTCAATAGTAAGCGAAGTCTCTGCAATATTTGTAGCAATAACGACCTTTCTACTGCCTGGTGGAGCTGGTTCAAAAATCCTGGTTTGCATCTCAGAAGGAAGAGCCGAATAAACAGGAAGAATAATCAATTCAGGAACATCCGGCCCTTAAAAGGATAGATAATTCATTAAATTAAAATTAAAATCTTACAATATATTTCATTAATTCTTTTCTCAAAAAAATTTTATTATATAATTGTAAAAACTTACCAAGTGATTTCATACGTTCATATAGAATTTCACAAGCAGTGTCAATTTCTTCTTGACCAGTTAGAAATAGTAAAATATCACCTGGTGGTTCCCTTAAGTGAATCTGCATGACGGTTATTAAACTGGCATCCAAGTAGTCTGTTTCTGGTTCTTTTGTATATAACACTTCAACAGGAAATGTGCGACCAGGTATTGTAAAGATCGGGGCTTCAAAGAAATATTGTGAAAATTTCACAGCATCCAAAGTAGCAGAAGTAACAATTAATTTAAGCTCAGGACGTTTAGTTACTGCTTGTTTAAGAAGCCCAAAAAGTACGTCAGTGTGTATGGTTCGTTCGTGGGCCTCATCCAACATTATGACAGAATAACTCTTGAGATCAAGATCCATTAAACATTCTCGAAGTAACATACCATCCGTCATGTATCTGGAACAAACAATAAAAAACATTACTTCATGTTTATAAAATACTTGTACGGCAAAAAAAATATAATTAACAAGCAATGAATCCATATCATTTAAAAAAATTACTTTATCACAGTTTCAGGACTAGTACAATCTTCAAAACGAATTGTATAACCGACTTCTTGACCCAATCGACATCCAAACTCTTCAGCTACTCTTTTAGCAACAGACATTGCGGCCACACGTCGAGGCTGGGTACATCCAATCTTTCCTCTTGATGTAAATCCAGTCTCGGCTAAATATTGCGTTATTTGAGTCGTCTTACCACTTCCAGTTTCTCCAATAACTATGAGAATTTGGTTATCCATTACAGCCTAAATAAAATATTGATAATCACAATCAATTTTGAAAAAAAAAATACAGATGTACCTTTATGAGTTCATCTCTTAATTTATAAATAGGTAATGACTGCCTTTGCTCGATTATAGTAAGATTTGTTTTTTTTCCAAAAGAGGACTTTTTACCACCAATAACGTGTTTCTTCCATTCAGGTAAATCTTGAGATTGCAACCCTATTCCTCTCATACTTCCCATAAGTGTTCTATCGGCTAAAATAAAACAAAAGGATTTATAAATGCATTGAATATACTGTATAACATAAATACCTTCTGGTAAAGGATCAATCCAATTTTTATTTAGTCCAGATGGTAATGAATCCATTTCTTGTTCTCTTTGTAACATTTTTTGCTCTCTTCTTTCTTTTGCTAAGGCAGATTGCATCATTGCAGCTTGAGCTAGGGAACCATCAGGATTTTTTACGATCCTAACACATTAAAAATTGTTGTAGATTAATAATTTAAAACAATTTATTTTATTTTTGTTTTGTACCTAACAGGACTGAGATCGTGTAGGGCACGCCCATGGCCATGAAGGAAAGGTGGCTCTTCTTCTACTAATTCAATTTCAATGTCTGCCTCACCATCCTCATCTTTTGGAAGTAAACCTGTTTCTTCATCAAACTCTGGAAGTTCACTCTTGTCAATGCAACCAGAAGAAATCATCTAAAAATATTAAAAAAGATCTTTTGGAAAAGTACTACCAATTTTAAGGATTGTATTACCTGTTTAATTTCCCATCTTTCAGGACTTGATATTCTAGTGACTCTCTTCCTTGAAGTTTCGTCATCTTCTTCAATGCCAACAGGAAGTCTCAATACTGATGTTGAGTTGTACATTGGTCTGTCTGGATTTCTATCTTTATCTTCTCTTTCTGCAGGAGCATGAGAAGATGGATTCAAATCCCTACCAGTCATTTGGCAAACTTCTTTCATTGATAATGAAACTTTTTGTCCAGTTACTGATAATACTTTTACCTAGAAGGAATTGTTAAGTATTTTTTATTCAAGGAAAGTACTTATTTTATGTTCTTATGTATATACTATATCCATAAGCTAGTCTGCAATTTTGGTTACTCTCAATTATTATTATATAATTTCTGTTGTACATCATGGGTTTTAAGCCCATTTGATATGAATATACAATATACATAACTAATATGAAATTATTACCTTCACTTTACTTCCTCTAGAAACAACTTCAGAAACATTTGTAACCCTTCCTTCAGCTCTTAATTGGGATATATGGACTAGACCTTCCCATCTGCGCTTTAATCCTTCCAATTGGACAAAACATCCGAATGGAACAATATTTGCAACTTTACCATTGTAGATCTAGATGGTAAATATAGTTTGTGAGCATCTTCATTGCACAATGTATATATTTGTATCTTTTATTATTATTTTTTTAATTGAAATAAAACTTTTTCAACCAATATATATGAAAATTAAATATAATAAATGTACCTTTCCAGGAATTGGTTCCTCTTCAAGTTCTGGGCTTTCCCTTTTTTGCATTCTTTCAACACTTTTTTGTCGTATTCTATCTCTATTTCTTTCTCTTGATCTGCTTCTTCTCCGTCTATGATCTCTATCCCTATCTTTATCCCTTCTTCTATCTTTGTAATCTCTAGACCTACTCCTGTCTCTCCTTTCTTTTGATCTACTCCGGTACCTTCTTCTGTCCCTGCCTCTTTCTTTTTCTCTTGATCTATCCCTGTATTTTCTATCTCTATGCCTAGACCTTGATCTAGATTTACTTTTTCTTTTTCTTTCTCTAGACTTACTGCGACTACGGCTTTTAGTTTTATGTGTCTCTTCTTTAACAATATTTGATGGTGCATCAGCCTCCAATTGAGCCATCATATCACCAATTATATCGTCGTCTTCTTTTGCCACTTTTTTTGTGTCAATCTTTTCATTTTCATCAAAAGCATTCTCATCTAATAGTGCCTTTTGTGATTTATTTGCCATAGCAAGAGCAGGAAACTTGGCAGCCAAATCATCTGCTTTTGTTTTAGAGATGTTTGCTTCAAATTCAACTGAATTTTTCTTAGGTCGCATGTGTTGAATAATTCGTAACAAATTCTCAGTGAATGAATCAGAAAATTCAGCTCCATTTTCCTTCAGAACTTTCTTAAAACTCTCCAGAGTATTGTGTTTTTCTGATAAATGAATTAAGAATTCCGCTGAAAATATACAAATAGTACAAATGTTTTACAATTATTTATAAAATAAAAAAATATGCAAATTTACCCAAGTCCTTATCATTCATCCCCAAATGATTTTCGAGTTCTGTACATACTTTACTAACAAGGGAAAGATGTTCTAATTTCTCAACTTCGTTCATATTATTTAAAATTTTAATCAAATACGATATAAACTGGAATCAATAAATATTTCTTTCGACGATTCTGTTTGGTTATGTTCATAGGTTATGTTATTGAATAAATTGTCAAATACGACGGCCTTTCAACTGATGTGTATATAGCCAATGTAAAATTTCAAGAGAAATGTACAGTACTTAAACAAAAATATTAACAGAATGAAGTTATTAATATAACTAATATAATATAAATAACTGAAGTTGAAATTCAAATAATACTCAGATCAATTGCAAGATAACTTAATTATAACTCTCATGTATCAAAAAGCAGATAGCATGCATTTTTTACTTAATACATTTTCGTCCATTAAAGTGTATCTTGGATTTAAAGAAAGAGATTACAACCCTGGGGTAACATACAGTATAATATAAAAAGCGTTTTAAAAGAATAATTAGCTAACAAAAATAGCGTTTTTTACAGAACATATTTATGCCATACCTACATTCAATGAACATATAATAGTGCTCATGAAATTATTATCACAAAGAACGTATTTGGTAAGCTTCGAGAAGTGATAATTATATAAAAATATGCGTAGAATCACACTATGCCAACAGTTTTCGAGTGCTGTGTCAATTCGGTACTTTCCAGCATTGTTTGTTATGGCATATAAAATTTGAACACAAAAAAGCGCTCGTGAAATTATTAGGAGATGGAAGCCCTTTTACAAAATTTGACAAGTGATAAAAATGTAAAAAAATACAAAGAATCTTATTCTGGCAATGGTTTTCGAGTGCGGTGTCAATTCGGTACTTTCCAGCATTGTTTACTATGATATATAAGATTTGAACACAAAAAACCGCTCGTGAAATTATTAGGAGATGCATGTGCTTTTATAAAATTTGCCAAGTGATAAATACGTAAAAAAGTATGTAGAATCTCATGGTGGTAATGGCTTTCGAGTGCGGTGTGAAACTGGTGCTTTCCGGTTTTAATTTTTCCTAAAATATATAAAATGCATTATACATGAAAAAGCGCTCGTAAAATAACACGAAGAAGAGATTAATGTACTAGGCTTTGAAAAATGATAACTATTTAAAAATATACGTGGAATCTCATTGTGCCAATAGTTTTCGAGTGCGGTGTTAATTCGGTGGTTTCCGGCATTGTTTACTAAGATATATAAAATAATTTGAACATAAAAAAGCGCTCGTGAAATTATTAAGAGATGAAATGTATTTACTAAGCTTTGAGAAGTGATAGTTATGTATAAAAGTACTTAGGGTCTCGTGGTGCTAACTGTTTTTATGTACGATGTCAAATAAATACCCCTATGGTATTATTTTCGCTGATAGTCCGTGTATTAAAAACATTTATGATATTATTTCAGTTTAAGTANTATGCAAGATCTTTAATAAAATTTGACAAGTGATAAATACGTAAAAAAGTACGTAGAATTTCATGATGGCAATGGTTTTCGAATGCGGTGTCAAACTGGTGCTTTCCGGTATTAATTTTGCTTAAAATATATAATATGCATTAAACATGAAAAAGCGCTCGTAAAATAACTGAAAGATGGGATGCATGTACTAGGCTTTGAAAAATGATAATTATGTAAAAATATACGTAGAATCTCATTGTGCCAATAGTTTTCGAGTACGGTGTCAATTTGGTACTTTTCGGCATTATTTACTAAGATATATAAAACAATTTGAACATGGAAAACCGCTCGTGAAATTATTAGGAGATGTAAGGCCTTTTATAAAATCTGATAAGTGATATATAAGTAAATAAGTACGTAGAATCACATGGTGTCAATGATTTTCAAGTGCATTGTTAAATAGATACTTTCCGACATTATTTTTCCTAAAATATATAAAATAATTTAGACGTAAAATGCGCTCGTGAAATTACTAGGAGTTTGCACAATTATTATTTTGTGTTAATGGTATAGTTAGAATTTGTTAAACAGTTTTCTTGGATGGATCTTGGATACGAGCAACATGGATATAGAAAAGTATTTTGGGTTACATATTTCAGGTACATCTTGTTTGATGTAGTATTGATAACAGTATGATAACATTTTTTTGAATTGCATAGTTTTTCCAAAAATTGTATTTTGTTTAATAGGACCCTTAACAGCATGCAGTTATTGCTTGTTACAGTACAGTAGGATATGGATCATAAACTAAAAGTGAAGACATGTGTTTGTGTATCAGCAGATCAAATAATAGTTATTGCTTTTTAGGTGCTGAATTATTCAATAGTTTAATAGTTATTTTTTTATTACAGCACTGTAGCGTTAAAATAATTGCTAATGTAGAAATCCGTTTCAATTCGTCACTGATATTGAAATGAGTCACGTCTAATTTTATCGTAATGTTTAAACGTGTATCATTGGGCATGCACGACTAGTATGAATTTCACAGGTAGAACACAAAATAAACAAATGGTTATAAACGAAATCGAAAATGTTTATTTTTACATTTATCAGGCAGAGATGCTATTTATCGAATGTTAAATTTCGTTAAGAAAATATAAGAACTTTTATAGAATACGTTAAGTAACTTTTGATTAGATCAGCGTTCGTTCGTATTTTTTCTGTTTACGCAAAATCGCTTGGAACGTCGATAATAATAAGACGAGAAGGCGCCAAACCCAGATTTGTGGGTGCACCACAGTAGTCGTTCGGGCGAAAAGAGGACGAAGACGAAGACCGACATACGATACATAAGTGAGTTTGAAATTGGTGCTTGTGTATTTTCAACAAAAAAGGGATTGCAACTACGCCCAATTAAATTACTAATCAAAGGTAAGCGTATATGCAGTTAGTAAAACAATTTTTATGGCTTTTACTTATATACAATATACGTTATATTATATTTGCGTAGTTTGTGTAACTAAAAATAAGAAGTTTATACGTTAGGTACTATTTTAGATTTATTTAAATTTGTTGAATGTTTCTGATTTACAACATAAAAATTGAGGGAATAAAAAGAAGAAATTTTGTTTACTTTACATTTTTTTTATAGACGCTAAAGTTTTTCAAAATTCTTCGTATACTTAATAGTGTATACTGTGNCTTTGAGACAAGTCCTTATAGTCAGATTCTGTATTTTGCTCTTTGGAGAGGGATTCGAAGTAATAAAATTTCAAAATATACAAATGTTTGAAGAATCACCTACATTTAGGTATGCTCGCGTTTATAGCATGCAAAAGCGATTATGCAAGTAAATATTCTAACAGCAATTATTGATTAATTGTCTTAAAATAATTATCGGCTTTTGGTTGGCGGATGGATCTGGCAGGAACTATATAGGGGGCCTCCGTTGATCGTGGGGCCCTGGGCACTTGCCCAGAGTGCCCAATGGAAAAGAAGGGCCTGAGAAAAAGGAAGAGTTCGTTAAAAATTGCACGAATGTTAATGCTTCAAAGATGAAAACAGATTTAGAAACATCTATAGGTAAAAATAGCTTCCATTACATCAGTATGGAATCATCCTTTTGACATTAATTACACTTGCTTAGAATTAATTTTTGTAGGATATCCATTTGAAATATAAAAATAAAAATTTATTATATTTACAGTTTTCTCACTAACATATGTCGTACAACATGTCCCACACAGTAACTGTTACAAGGACAACAACAACGTCAACATCTGCAGTCATCCTTAATACGGGATACTTTAAAACATGGCCTGGTATCTTGAAATTTTTCGAATTGGTAAGATTTTCACAGCCTGTTTTGCTTTTCGGAACATTTCAATCATTATAAATTTAAATTTAGCTCCGTGCTCCCAACAGTAGCTTACGACCAGAAGAAATACGTATTGTATGGATATCATACTTTATATTGTTACATTATTGGAAAACGGATTAAAATTTAATGGGATATTAAAGATTCTTTTGAATAATTAGAAAATTAATTATTGAAATGCTGTTTAAAGTGTAACTTTTAATTTTTTTTATTGAAAAATAGAACGTTTTTATAGGAAAACTAGATATTATTTCATTGCTTGTGTTCTGTCCCGTTTTTATTATGATCCAAAATAACTTAACAATCAAAACAGAAATAGAATTACTACTGTTCAGTAATGTTCTGAAACAATTTTACTAAAATTAAACTTGAATCAAGAACAGAAACACCATTTATACTTTTA